CAGTTCTGGGGATTTTGTTTTCTGCATTGCTTTCCACTTGAAGAATAATTTTTCTCTCATGACATTGCAGATATTTATGATTGTAGCTTACATGCTTTAAGGGTTTGTAGTTTCTTTCATTAAGCTTATAAGATTATAAAGACAAAGGGATTTCATATTCTTCACAGTTGAGTTTGACTACTCTATCTAAAACATTTGTCCATGAATTTTAACTTCATTTTAGCACCTTTACACCTCCCTAACATTTCCTCTACAAAAGGAAAGCAAATTATAAGGTTTCCCATTGTTGTTTTCTTCCCTAGCTGCATTCACTTTAGTTTGTAGCTGATAAGGAGGGTGTGGCCCCTCACTCCCTGACCTTACCTCCTCAGGAGCAGTGCCCACACAGGCTGGTGATGGGGAATGAATCTGTAGGCAGGCACCCAGCTGGATCACAGATGCTTGTGATTTTTGCAGTAAGCTACAAAAAAAGTTCAGTTCCCTTTAAACCAGGCTGCTTTTCCATGGATTTGAGCCTGTGGATTGAGGATGCAGCTTCTGGATGTTGATAATGCCATAAATGTGTTGATGGATATAAGATCCCAGTGAAAAGGCAGCTGTGGAGATAGTGGACCCTGCCTGGGACTTGTTCTCTGACTCCTCTTCTCTTGCCTCTGGCAGAGGGGTGCATGGGGAGTTGCCCTGGCTGCTGGGATGGACAGCCTTCATATTCCCCGCAGTGCCCCTCACAAGGGAGTTGAAGGTCTGAGCACTCCTTGAGAGGCAAGATTTGGAAATCAGATGATCATTCTGAGATGTATCCCTGTTTACACTCCAGTAGCCTGTGACGTCAAAGAGCGTCATTGGTGAGTCACCTATCCGCATGTCTGACTCGTCCTGGCTGCTCTAAATATAAATGTCAAAAGATGGTTAGGCTGTAGGAGTAAATTGGTCTGTGTTGCCGTGTGCATTTCGAGCTGGTCTTCGTCTTCTGCATTTCACTTTTTCTCCATTATAAGGGCTGATTTGGTCAATGGGAAACAAAGGCAGCAGTGCCAGCTCTCAGACTATGTTTCCATGCACACATCTGATACATCACATCTTTTTGTGCTGGCTCTGTCAGGGCTGAATCTGAGAAGTGGGAGAAAATGGGTTGCTTTGACAGTGTTTCTGAAGTAGACACCCTGAGAGACTGTGAAGCATTTTCACACCTTTTTTTTTTTTTTTTTTTGTGCATGCAGAATGTACAATACTTAAACAAGCCTCCAAGAGAAAGTTCCTTTGCTAAGGCTGCTAGCCACTGCTAGTGGACCGCAGTTATGGAGATGCTTGTGTGATTTATGCTGCTCTAGCAGAAATGCTAAGTCACAGCCTAAACCAGTGATTGAGCACCTGGTGGGAAGGCAGAACCAACCCAGGGGAGCTCAGGTGCATGCAAGGTGCCTGTGGGACCAGAAGAGGTAGAGCCAGGATCTGCTCCTTCCCAGACCTCATTTAAGGGCTTGCTGCATTTGAGCTTGTCCTTATTTGCTACAGCTGAAGACTTTGCTACCCCAGTATTATCACTGTACTTTCCATCACGTTATGGTGTTACAGTTGTTTTAGGCTCTCAAGGTTGAAGTTTCAATAATAAACACAACTGGTTTCTCTGTTGAAAGCTGGGAGAAGCAGGTAAGGAAGGTGTCATGTCTTTCATCTTACTAAGCATTTGGGTTTTTTTGTATGCGTATGTTTCTTTTTAGTGAAATGTGTATTTTTTGTAAAGTAAACAAAATGTTGATGAAGAATGCCACAAGAAAAACATCAGGACCCTGAAATTGCCTCTGCTTTGGCTATTGGGATATGGTTGAGTTTTTTTTACTTGTTGCCTTTAACTGCTTATGCAGAAGTGGTAATGAATTTAAGAATGAGCTCTGTGTGCGGAAAGTAAATAGATCTTTATAAAAAGCATATCTAAAAACCTATGGAAGGTAAATCGAAGCAGATAGCCCTGCTTCACTTTACTGTACCCCTGCTGATTGCTGTAATAGGGCTAATTCTGTGTTACCTTATAGAGAGTAATTCAAAGATCAACGAAGGTTGTCTTTTGTGTATTTCTGTGAGAATTTCCTTAACCGTTAAAGAAAATCCTTTGAAAGTATTAAATTGTATATATCTGTATCAGTTTCCTCATTAGTATCAGAAAGCTCTACAACAAGGAATAAGAATAAGAAATCAGAATAAGAAAGTGACAACAGTACATCTGGGCTGCAAACACCTCGTTGGAGGCACTGCTGTGTTTAGAGTAATCTCACTTCCACTTCACATCACAGATGCCAGAATGGCTTGTGCTGCTGTATGTGAGACTCATCACGATGCCTTGGGCTGTTATTTTTACATGTTATGTCATTTCTTCTCTTTTCAGTGTTCTTAAATCACTTTTTTTCTGCCTCTTTCTTCTCAATTTTGCTTCTTTTCCTTCTCTTCTTTCCTGTTGCCTGTTGCCTCTAACAGGCAGCAAATCTAATGAAGGGCGTGAGCCTCTGGACAGTGTATAAGTATGCAAACCTTCTATAAAAAATAAAATCTGTTTGATTTACACAATGCAGAGGGTCAGTCAAAAACTGTAGGCTGTGTTCCAGCTGAAGGTAGTACCTGCCCCTGCTTTAGAATTTTTATGAGACAGCGATCGAAGCGCTTTGTGCAGCGTTGGCAGCCTGAGTCTATTAGCATGCATTTAGGTGAGGGGTGCCACCTGCGTTTTCAGCCTTTCCCTTTTCATAGGAATGTCAAGATGGAGAGGGTATCTTACAGCTCGTCTAGAAAATTCCTCTGCCTCCCTTCTGGGGGAACAAGCTGGCAACTTTCTACAGCAAGACATGAAGTTGTATTCAGTATAGATAGTACTTAGTCCCCGAAGTCTGAAAATGTAGGAAGGTGGGAGACAACTGTGAGAAACAGACATGTCAGAAAAATGTGGAGGATTTGGCAGCCTTGTCTTTATGTCTGCTGTGTTACCCTGAAGAACAGTGTTGACTACAAACACATGAACATGCTAGTGTTGAATTTAATGGATGTGAGTCTGCCAGAGTTACTTGGGGTTTGGATTTTTTCTAAGCTTCAAGGTTGTTGTTATTGTTCTGCTTTACTTAGTGTCTCTACAGATAGCAGTAATGAAAAGTTGCAGTGCTGTTGAATGAACCCAAAATTCTGTCTTTAAAAAGCCTCATTTGGTATGAGCTCTCTTTGACTGAAAGCACGTCAGATATAATTGAGTGCTGTGAGATTGCTGTTGCTTTGTATCTCCAGTCTAGGAACCAGTCTGTAGTTATGAACCTCTTATGAATGTTTATAACAAAATTATTGCTAGGAGGCTGGGTAATATCAATCTAATTCTTTTTAACAGATTAATAAGAGTACATACTTTTGCAATTCCTTTATAACTGTATCACTTGGACTAACCAGTCCTTTATCCACTATTATGCTGCAGAGTGTGGAAAATTCTAAGACCTTTGGCTGACAAAAGTAGGAGTTATCAAAAGTCATTAGGAGTCATCAAAAATAAAAATAAAATGCATTCTAAGTCAAACTAATCCTCATTCAGTATTGTTCATCTCTCTGTAGGAAATAAGTGTTGCCTCACTCCTTGTCTGAAACAGCTTCCAGCTGCTCTCTGCATCACATAATGCAAGCAGTCACACCTCATGTGTAGTACTGCCAGCACCAAGCTGTGTGCAATGGGAATGCTGTTTGCAGTCACTGCAGACAATGCTGAACTCATTAAGAAGCTAGTAAAGTGACCTAAAATTAATCTGTTCTAATTAGTGTAATCTGGCTGTTGACCTCATTCAGCTGACTGAACTCACAAGAAATAATGTCAGTAATAAGGACTAAAATGAAATATCACTTAGTGTGAATTATTGTGGTGTATCTTGCGAGGAAGGAAGAAGTCCAGTACGGTTATGAAGACCACAGTGTTCCTTCTTCCTGCGTCAGAAGGGACGTGAGTTCTTGTTGCTTGCCATCACCTTTCCTGGGATATTGATAAAATAGTTGGCTTTCTTGAAAGTTAGTGTGTGTCTTTCCTTTAGGGATTCAGAAAGAGCCAGCACCTCCTGATGCAAAGCCATATTCCACTGATATTATTGTATATAATTATAGCTTTTGTAGAGAAGAATCTGCTCCTAAATATAGCCACCCAGTCAGGCCACCGTTAGAGCTGTATGTTAATGGTGTTTTACTCTGCGTAATATAGTGATGTGTGGGAAAAAATCCCAGACTGAGTCCATTTCTGACATCCAGTGGTTGATTTGCAATGAATTGTAGTACCAGAGTTCAAATGCTTGCTGATTATTGCTGAGCCGGGCTACTGTCAGGCATTTTGAAAAATAAGGCTTGCAGTTTAACCAGTATCACTGAAGTTCCTCACTGCAGAGCCCTGCATGACCTTTCAGCACATTCACTGGAGTTCCCACAATGGCAATTGTAAGCAAGGCATGACATAGCATCATTGCAGCTTAACGGGGCTATTGACCTCTTGCATCTGGCCCTGGTGGGAGAGCCATACTGCCTGGAAATGTTCAAGATCTTTAAGCATTTCATAGTAAGAAACAGTGGGAAACAAAATTGCCAAGTACCAGGAAATAGGATATGAAAATAACAAACAAGTCACAAAACCTCATGAAGCACTCACCTCGTGCTGGTAGAAGGTAGAGGTCTGCATGAGCTCTCTAGTGTCTGTTCTGATCTTCATAGAAGATCTGTCTTTGTAAACCGAGAAAGACAGCTAAATGTGGCTGTCCTTTTGGGCAGAACTACCCCAGGATCAGTTTTGCTTGAAGTAATACCTGGACCTATATGCCGGTGTGTAGATTCATACAGGAGCAGAAATCTCCACTGGGCTGTGGGAATGTCTTCTGCAGAGTTTCCTTTCAAGGAAACAAAGAAGTACTTGGTACTTACGTCCAGCTGTGACTCTGCTATCTATCTGATGCTAATTCAGTTCTTAACAGGTGTTTTTTTTGTTTGTTTTTGTTTCGCAGGAAGAAATCTTTTCTATTTTCAGCACTGTACGCTGCCTTCATATTTGGTGGTCGGCACCTTATGAATAAACGAGCAAAATTTGAACTGAGGAAACCACTAGTGCTCTGGTCCCTGAGCCTTGCTGTCTTCAGGTAGGCATTCCTTCTCATCAACTGCTTTCAACAGTAGTCTCTGAAAAGGGTTTTGGTTTTGTAAGGTTTAACGGCATTGCTAGTATGGCAACAAACTTGCCCAGAAGTGGCCTTTCTTTAGTGCTGCTCCCCAAGGTTATGTCCTGATCCGGTCCTCACAATTTAAATGGTCCCCTTTGACTTGCCAGATCATACAGCATTCAGAGAGGGGAGAAATCAGCACTGTTCTTGGAGAGCAAAGGTGAAAAAGAAAGGGAGGATGGGAGAAAAAGCATGAGTCATTGAATCACTTGCAATAAATTTACCATGCAAACTACAAATGGAAATAAATGAATTAAGACGCCAGTCTTGTTCTGATTTGCTAGTTGGCATTACATTTATATGGCTGCATATATGGAATATTTAATTGAGGTTCTGACCTCTATTACAGTGAGATAAACCTGGTTCACTGTGACTGAGATCGGAATTTGGCTTCTGGTTATTCCATCAGAAGTGAAGAGCTTACAAATACAGCAAATGGGTGGCTCCACAGCAAAAAGGCTCTGTTTTAGTGATGGACAGCTCTAGATGTGTGTTTCTTGTATATCACTGAGTATGGGGAAATCAGGTTTGCATTCTTGATAATTTACTCTACATAGTATAGAAAAATTTGTAAACAAATATCTAACACTGATACCAGTGTCTTTTTCTAGTATCAGTATAATAATTACTGATTTGAATAGTTCACAAGTACAGAAAGCATGTTTGCGTACTGAGCAGCCATGAAGGTTGAATTATTTTTCACAGGATGGGAGTATTTTAGGCTGAGAGTTTCTAAAGATTAAATCAAAGCAGAAATAGAGAAGTTTGATTATTTTGCTTTCTTATGTTTATTTCCTTTCTTCTCAGAATCCACACTGGCATTTCCTAAAACTCTGGCGAGGAAAAATAAATTACATTTTTCACTTATTTCATTCAGCTGGAATGTGCTACCTGTAGAACTTCAAACTACATTTGCTTGATTTTAATCATTTAAAGATTCCTAAAATAATAATAATAATAAGATAAAAAGCTTTGAGCGTTCTGGGGTAACTTTGAGAGAAATTTCTAACACTGAAAATTTACTGTTTTTGTTTTATGGCATTTGGTGCTGTGCTTCCGTCTATGTGTCTAACATCATTTTGTTGTTACTGTACACAATTGTCATCTCTTGGTGAGGTTCAGCAACTGCTGAATTGCTTCTTAGGTGACACGTCATTTGTGAATCAGTTTGTAAAGTGATCTTTAGCCAGTTGGATCCCTAAGTATATATTCCAATTATACTTTGTTATTGAGCATAGCCAGTAGAAAGAAGCTGACGTATGCAGAGAGGTTGTAGTTCATTTCCTGACCTGCAGGCAGGACACACAAGTTCATAACTGTGCTTCAAAGAGGGTCACTGGCATGATTTTTAAAATCATGTTGTTTTGGGGTTGACTCTATGGCTGGCATGCACAGTATGGGGCTTGTAAGCAATTTCACTGATTAGTTAGTTCTCAAAAACAAAGCAATGCGGTAATCAACAAATAGCAGTGTGCGCTATGGTGTGAAAGTGCTGTGTAGGTGGACTGAGAACATTCAGACTTTGAAATCAACATGTTCATTATTTGATAGCTGGAGTTTTCCTTCATAGTCATATGAAATAGCTAATGCACAGTCTGTAGTAGCTGATGGGGAAGTCTGCGTGAAATCTAAAATGTGGCTTTCACCTTTGTGAAACGTCATGTTGCCAGAATGAACACTCCAGAATCACTCCCAACTTTATTGACTCTGTAGCCAGCTGTACTAGACTTTGACTGCCATAAACTTTACAAGGAACTTGAATTTTACTTTCCAAGAGACGTTTTTTCTGGCTCCTTTCATGACGAGGTGTTTCATTTGCACATGCTTGATCTGAAAGATATTTCTGCTTCCTCTGAAGGTGAACTCGGATAGATTTAGATGCTGTTGTTTTACTTATTACAGATCCAGGAAAATACTCTTCAATTTTAAAAAGTCTTCCTCGTTAGCTTTATGGGCTGTTGAAATACTATGATTTTTACAATACCTTTAGGAAATGCTAAGTAATGTACTTCTGTTGTGAGCAGTTATAGTGAGGAAGAAAAGCCTGCCTAGAGAGCCCTCAGTATTTTCCTCAGCCTCAAGGTCAGAGCAAGACTTTTTTCCAGAGTCCTTGTTTATCTCTCTGCTAGCACTCCTACCATTTTTACCGACTTCAAATATCCTCAGAAATAGTAACACTTAGCAGAGGCTGGAAAAATTGTGTTCTGGACTTAAAAAAACAAACAAACAAAAAAAGCCCATGAAATTGCTTGCCAGGCAATGACATGGCCTTCCTTCACAATGTATCCTGAGCGCCTTGCTCTTGCCAAGATCCTTTAAATGTGGTAGCAGCTACTGTAGGAAACCTGCTACGCTTATAAATAAACAAAACAAGCTACAACACCCTGCTGAGCTTGCTAAGCATTCGGGGAGTTCAGTAAGAGTAAGTTTTGTGTCAACACTGGCAGCCAGCAGGATCTGAGAGACAGAAAAGCTGCTTTATTTCCCTTTGGAAGCATCAACTAGTTTCGAACATTTTGTCTCTGGGATAAAGTTACTGCTTCTATGTGAATACCTCTGCGAAGGCAGTGACAATAAATCTTGCTTTTCACTTTGAAACCACTGTGAAAACATGATCTTCTGAAGTCTTTTGCTGATAAATTAGTTTGGGATGTTTTTCTTGGGTTCTTTTCCTTTTCCTTCTAGTAGATTTGTTGATCTGTTTCAAGCACTGAAGACGTTGTTTTGTGGCATGACATGATTTCAGTCTTTTTTTTTTTTTTTTTCTTCCATTTTATGCACTTCATTCACAGCCAGTTGGTTGTGCACTGAGGTCCTGTGGGAGCAGCTCCGTGGTGTTCTTTGTCAACGGGATCCCACTGTTTGTTTTTCAGACTTATAAGACCCAAAGAAACTGTTGCTGATTCACCTGCATGTCAAAATGACAGCCATGTATTTAAGAAAATTTCCAAGAGTGAAAAATCTACAAAAACACGAGTTTGAATTGCTAGTCCTATGTTTGTGCTCCTTTGAACAAGAAGTTAGGATCATTCATTGACACCAAAGTATTTTTTTAGTTAGTGTATATCAAAAATACTATGTTGGCATCTTAAAAATCAGCAAAGCTGGGACCAAGGGTCTCACAGAAGGATGTGTAATCATTAATTCATGGTTTCATTACATCTCAGCTGGATTTTTGTTCTTCTTTTTATGGGCCTTAGAGTGTGTGTGTGTGGGTAGCACTGCCATCAAGGAGCTCACACAAGGGTTTGATTGCCTTACCTTCACAGAAGACAGTGGCATGGCACTGTTTTCAGTCACTCTCCATCCTTAAAGGGCTCCCAGCAGAAGAATCAGTGTCAGGATGCTGACTAATAATAGCAAAATGTTGTTTTCCTTAAGGAACACAATCCCATCAATAGAAGAGAGAAGGAAACTAAAGCATCCATTGTGGTGCAGTTGTATGCAAGGAGGAACAGAGAAGCTAAGTCTGATTGTGACTGGAGGCATGATTTGTCTTTGTTTGGCCAGACTACTCATTCGTAAAGTTGCTATCGTTATTTGAGGATGTGCAGATTCTAATACAGCTTCAGCTGTGCTTTGTAGCAGAGGCTGATGTCAGTATAGGCTATCCGTATGTCATTCTTCCTGGGAAATACTTTCTCTTCAAGAGGCTGAAATGGTATGAATGGCCACTAGCTGTCTTCCACAAAGCCTCAGAAATGAAATATTCCAGTAGCAACTTATTTTGTATTTGAAAGACACAGCCAAAGTATCTCACTGGAAGAAGGTTACTCACTTTTCTTTTGTGAGACTGCTGTAATGGATTTGTTTCCACAAGCACAGCAGCATTTTGTAGAATCATAGGATCACTCAGGTTGGAAAAGACTTTAAAGATCATCAAGTCCAACCACGACCTAACCATACTACCCTAACTAACATCCCTCTGCTAAATCATGTCCCTGAGCACCACATCCAAATGGTTTTTAAACACATCCAGGGATGGTGATGCAACCGCCTCCCGGGGAGCCTATTCCAGTGCTTAACAGCCCTTTCTGTAAAGAAGCATTTCCTGATATCCAACCTAAACTTACCCTGGCACAACTTGAGGCCGTTTCCCCTCATCCTGTCACCAGTGAGAAAAGACCAATCCTGCTCTCTCTGTAAGCACCTTTCAGGTATTGAAAGAGAGTGATAAGGTCTCCCTTCAGCCTCCTTTTCCCTGGAGTAAACAGCTTCAGTTCCTTCAGTCAGAAAGAAAGGTATGCGCTTGTTCTGCAGATTGCTCCCGACAAGATAATCCAAAATAAATCATTATATCTGCAGCTCAGTCCTGAGATGAGCTGAACTGAAAGGACTGAACATAACTTTAAAAACAGGAGTCCAATTGCTTGTATTTGGGACTCTGAAATACCTTCTAGTTATGATGCCTATGCACAAGACAGTTGATGAAAACTCACTGAAATTTCCATCCAGTCCCAAGGTCTGCCATTCACCACAGAGATTAAAACACAACTTTATTTCATATGATGCTGAACCACCCATTAAAATCTTAAAATACTCTGAAATTGTATATAGATTCTGAAAATGCATTTAAAGAGAATGTAAATTAATGAAAAGAGCAATATTTGCCAAATAGTATTAAAGTTAATAAGTAGCATTTAAGGTGAATTAATTATCTTCTCTCTTTTAAACTTGAAAGCAAGGGAATTATATTTGAGAAGCATTGATATTCTCAACGTGAGATTGTTCAGAACCCAAACATCTACTTAATGATTTATTTCAATTGAGCCATGCTCATCTATATAGACTTAACTGGTTTTCTTATTTAAAAGATATTGGGAACATCTTTTAGTTACCGTTTTGGAACCAAAGTTGAAAGCTGGATGAAAAGCAGGAGTTCAGAATGGTTGGAAAGAAGGCAAATCCTTGAGACTTAA